GATTTAATGAACTACTGTAACTTGTGATTCGTGTCACCAGGATGAAGCAGTGAAAATTGAGTTTCCAGTACCATCAATAAATAAATTGTCAATATTCATTGGTGCTGCTCTTGACTTGCCTGCTACATACAGAAATCATTAGGATGGCTGTACTTTGGATTTTAAAGGGGACATTTTAGGATATAAACCCATATTTTGGTTATAGTTGCTAAAAGATGTTTTTCCTGAAAATCATTTCACAGGACTAATTTGTATGTTGACTGGTTAAGATACATATACACACCTGCTCTTTCAACCCTTTTAAGCTGTGATGTTACATAGAACCAGATGAGGGAGTTTTTATCACTTCCTTTGGTTGTAGTACCTACCACCTGGCTGGGATAAGTCCTCTAATGCGTGTTCTAGTTCAAGCCCATTAAAAATACTGGTTTGTGGCAAGGGGGTAGTGGCTAAATTTAGCTATTTCCTTCCTGATCCCAGATTGTGTGTATAAAAATGCCAATTTTTTAGGTTTACTTACACATTTTATTTTTTAAAACCACATTTCTTAAATTGAACTTCAGAGAAATTATATACCCTTTCCTCTTGTGTGTCTGAAAGTTAAAAGAGAGAGAGAAAGATTGGGGATGGTAATTGTCATATTTTAAAATAAGTTAAAATACTGGATTGGCCAAAAAGTTTATTTAGTTTTTTCCATATGATGTCTTTAGTAGTGCTGAGTTGTCATGTGAAACAATTTTATTAGATTGTATTGTAACAGTATGTGTTTCCAAAACCATCCATCAGTATTGGTGACTTTTCATTTAGCCATTTTAATATTGAAGATGGAAGAAAAATGCAACATTTTCAGAATATTATGCTTTATTATTTCAAGAAAGGTAAAAACACAACTGAAATGCAAAATAGGATTTATTTGTACAGTGTATGGAAAAGGTGCTGTGACTGACTGTGTCAAAAGTGGTTTGCGAAATTTCTTGGTACTATTGACATTTTGGCCACACAATTCTTTGCTGTGGGGCTCTCTTATGCATTGGAAGATGTTCAGCAGCACCCTTGGCCTCCATTCACTAGAGGCCAATAGTGGGAATATACAAATCAATAATATCCAGATCAATAAAGTTACTGGTGAAAATAAAAAATGTCTTTCATTTTACGGAAAAAAACATAAATGGACTTTTTGGCCAACCCAGTACAAACAGTAAACCACCCCACACGTGATAGAGTTCTTGATTGGTAGTTTCCTAGGATCAAAAGTAAACTTTAGAAAGAAAATTAATTTTATTGTTTCTCATGCTTCATATTTTTAGAAGTTAGAATTCCTAATACTAGATATGTAGTAAGCTTTTGAAAGTTGAGATGTTTCATCAGTGTGGCTATTACTGTGCTCAGTTGTGCTAATTGAATCTCAGTTTGCTTAGCCAAACAAATGAAATGGGTATCTTAAACAGGGTAACTTGTTCAGTGTAATACCAGAATTTCATACTTTAAAAACTTTTTTCAGTTCCCTTCACAGTGCATTTTTTAAATTTTATTGATTTTAGAGAAAGGGAGAAAAAAAGAGACATTAATTTGTTATTTCAGTTATTTATGCATTCATTGGTTGCTTCTTGTATGTGCCATGCATGATGACTAGGGATAAAACCTTGGCGTATTGAAGGACACTCTAACCAACTGAACTACCCAGCCAGGGCCACAGTGCATTTTTATGTATTTAGTTATTTTTAGAGACGAGGAAGGAAGGAGAAAGAGGGAGAGAAACATCCATGTGTGGTTGCCTCTTGTGTGCCCTGTACTGGGGACCTGGCCCACAACCCAGGCGTGTGCTCTGACTGGGAATCAAACTGGTGACTCTTTGGTTCACAAGCCTGCTCTCAATCCACTGATCTAGCCCAGGGTACAGTGCATTTTTTATAACAAAACTTATTTAATCAGTTTCTCTATGGGTTGTTTGATTGGCACGTGAATATATCAAATACATACATCCAGCAAATATTTTTACATACACAAATGGAATAATTTCAACCATGCTATTTTCAGTTAAGCCTCCTTATTTCTTACTGCCATTGTTTCTTTCTGCCTCACCACCTTCTCCAACTGTAACAGTCCATTTTACTCTAACCCATCTATGTAATGTGGTACATTCTTGTACATAATTAGTAGACATCACTCTATATTTTTTCTCATGCTTAAACTCTATAAAGGAACATATAATTCCATGTTTTATTAGCAGGGGCCTTGGATAATAGTTGTACCCCCCCCCCAAAAAAAATCCTGTTATGCATGCTTCTGCTTCTTTTCTACTCAATAAGCACATTTGAAACTCATTCACATCCCAGGATAACACTGATTCCCTCTGTTTAATGCTAACTTACTCTAAGGTACGACTGTACTATACAGGAGTGAACTGTACTGTACTTCTTCAGCCTGGTTCTCTGTGGAGGTTAACTGTGTCTCCTGTTTTCTGCCTCTGTAAACAAAGCAGCAATAACTACCTCACTACATGTCCTTAACTCTGGTGGTTTTGTTTCTGTGCAGTAGTCTCAAGAAGGGATCCCTGGATCAGAAAGGATATTTATTTGCATTGTTAATGGCTACTACTAGATTGTTTCCCTAACGGCTGTAATACTTTATATTTCTACCAGCCATGTATGAGAGTATCACCACTAGGAATAGGTGCTTTATTTTTCTGAGCTTCCATTTCTTTTTCTATAGCCTCTCACATCATTTTACAATCAGGTGTACACACAAACGTGATTAATTGAAATCTGACTTTGAACTAATTTTCTGTAACAAGTGAAAACTTTTTTTCTATAATAGTATGTATCTTCTGAGTTTGAGTAATATTAATGACATGAGGCAAAAAGCCATTTAAATGAATGATGGTTTTTAAAAATACTCATTTAAACAATTATAGGCATGTTAGCACTCCTAGCATCTATGTAAAATTTCTATCATTCTGTAGGGAATTTACCTTCAGGGAGGAATTCTAGTTCTGTTAAGCTGGTATTTCTCCCCATAACATGTGTCATCTCCTAAAAGATAACAGTTTTTGGTGAGATAATTGAAGGGCCAGTGAAAACTATTACCATTTTTATTTTGGATCTCATTATCCTCCTTGCATTTGATGTGATTGGTCACCTTTTTAACAGTGTTCACCTTGTATATCAAATGATGACTGGGTTGAGATGGTGATGATGATGATGATGATGATTATATATTATGGCCTGTATAAATCAGGCCATGAGGTTATATTTTATTTGCCTGCCTTTGAACGATTGGAACAGTTGAAAAGGGAACACATACATGAAGTATGGCTGAACCCTGAAGGAGCCATCCACCAAAAGGTCAGATGATGACAGCCAGAGGAAGGCTGCTGTGGGCTCTTAGCCACCAAGGTGAGTTATCCCCATTTCCACTTCTTGTCCTATCTGTCCTAATCTGGGGTGAGGACCTAATGAGCAATAGATAATAATATAGCAACATTTCTTGGTGAAACTAATCTGATTCTGGACAGCAAGCTTCCAGGCCCACAGCTGAATGAATTGTTTGGTATTTCTAAGTTTGAAAATACTTCTCCCTCTTTCAAGTGCTCCTTGGCAGCAGGTAAAGAATGTTAAAGCTCCTGTAAGTGCCAATTAAGGCCAATTATAAGTTACTCGGCCTGCTGAGACAGTGAAGTGGAGTTAATGGAGACGTGTTGTGCTCCTGTAAACTGGAGAACTGGCTACCACCAGTGACAGGAACACAGTATTTTCCAACTGCTTGTTGCCCTGCAGAATACCACCAGGTGACACCTCTGCTGGTTTCTCAGGGGTTTGATTTAGGAGGTCCCAAGATTTTGGGGAGACTTCACTAAGTTCTCTGATCAAAACCACTCTTTCTCTTACTCTTCATTTCTTAATGTGGTATCTACCATCCAATGTCCTTGTTTCTAAGCATTTAGGATGTAATGGGCACTGCATTCCATGTGTTTACCTCCCTTACTCTTCACGCAGCCCTATAGGGCAAGGCTGTCTTAGCACGTCTCAGGGGACACAGGCCCAGAGGAACAGAAATCTCCTGTTCAAGGCTACACAGCTGAAAGTGCTGAGACTGCAGGCTGGCTGCCCCTGAGCCTGAGCCCTGGGCCATACTAGTTGCAGCAGCGGGTCCACCATTTGTTGCAAGCAGGTTAATGCACAGAAGAATCTGTGTCAGGTCAGGATTCCCTTTGTGCAGCCAGAGTAAAGCTGATCAGAGTGCACACCATCCACACCATAGCCATTACCTATAATTTTTGGACTGTAAGGCCTGAATATTATTCTGTTTAAATCATGGGTGTCAAACTCATTTTCACTAGGGGCCACATCAGCCTTGAGGTTTCCTACAACGGGCCAAATGTAATTTTAGGACTGTATAAATGTAACTACTCCTTAACTAGGGGCAAGGAGCTTGGTGCTGCTGCCAGGTAGAAACAAGGTGCCGGCCAGATAAAACAAGGTAAAGGGCTGGATTTGGCCCGTGGGCCTTGTGTTTGTCACCTGTGATTTAAATGTTACTTTAGTCCATAGTCTTTTTTTAGTCTGTAGCCCGTTTATTCTTTCATAAGAAGTATAAAAAATGTTTTAAAAAGTGGGGAGGGTGGGGGAAAGGCAGAAAAAGTGTACTTGAACAACAATAAAAAAATGTTTTAAAAAAAGACATGTGACCATGTCCCCAGACCTAGACACTTAATATGAGCCATCATCAGAGGATTTAATATCAGTAGAAACTTTGTTTATAGAATGGAAATGGTTTGAAGAAAATAATAATATTGCTTTTTAAGCCAAACAGAGCTGTATTTGCTTAAACATTTTACCCAGAGCATTGAGAGAGGTGTATGTGTGTTTTAAAGATTAATTTGAGCTTTATGCCTGGTTTTTCTGTGTTTGTATATATTGTACAAAATTATAATTTCCTGGAGTACACTATCATTCATCACTTTTTTTTGACATAGGTCTTAGAAATAAGTTTGTTTCTCTCCTGGTTATATATGAAATTAAATGTAGATGTGTTTGTAGCATTTAAAAACATTTGCTGAAATTCATCCTGATTTTTGTCAGGGTTACAGAGACTTTGTTCCCAGAACTGTCATGGATTGGCTGTTCTTGTGATGATTGTTTTCCCCATTGCACTGTCACCCTCTGTCTACAAAAGGGGACATGAGAAAGGCAAGCATCAGTGCTGGGAAACTGGTAAGGAGGCCAGTATCAGGCCTGGCAGGTACAGTTGTGTGGAACTGAGGCATAGTCTGAGAAGCATGCACTCATCTCACTTCTGTTCTGCATTGGATGTCATCAGGTGCTGCCCTCTGGGGAGGTGGGTGAGTACAGTGAATAGTACCAAGACCTGATGCAATCAGGTAGTAGTACAACAGTGGACTTTTTTCTACTAGCTTAAGAAAACCTTCAGTGAATTAACCTAAAATTCTTATTTGTTGCTAATTAACTTTTGAGAAATTTGCACATCCTGTCCTTCTAAGGCTCATTGATGGCTCTTTCTTTGTGTAGTCTGTTGTCCTTGAAGGACCACCATAGTTTTGTTTGAATGTGACTGTAAGAAATCTGTTTTTAAAAAAAGTATGTTTCAGAGAATCCTCTGGGTCTTAATATTGCTGTAATGGTTAGGCTCTGAATTTTGCTGTGAAAATAAAGCAGTGTGGCTGCTATTCTTTTGTTTTAGAGTCAATTTAGAATTTTTATCTCGTCTAATAGGAGCCATTTCCTATGTCTCACAAGTCTTTCCCACCCCTTCCAGGCTGAATTCTTTCCACACATGTAGTTCATGATTTGTTGCCAGATACTCTGCATGGGGTGATGGGATTCTCTAAACAAATCTGCCTGCCCCCACACCCCCAGGACACACACCCTCTTGACATTTAAAAGTGTTCATTCTGAACTATAAGATACCTGAGTCTTATTTTTGTGTGTAGCCTTTATTATCGTAAAACTCAGATCCATTGGCTTTCTTTTTTCCATGTCTGTTTAACAATAAGATTTGGTGATTGACAAGGGGGGGGCGAAGTATTGATATGGGGAGTATAATATGGCTGAGATAGAGAAACAGCTAAACCATGAAGACATTGTTTACAAAGATCCACTTAGGGAAGTTTTTGGATTATGAATATAAAAGGTAGTCAGCTTTTGTCAGTTGTTCAGTGATTGAGACTCTGGACAATCAGGTACATATTCTTCTGAAATTAGATATGTTTTACAAATATGCACAGAAAATGGGTTCAACTTTTTGTGACTATAGGAGAAAAGGTGTGCTTAGATGTGATAAACTTTTTTTAAAGTACAGATCATGAGGAGATAAAATGTGGAGGAAGCCTTGCTGATATTTGTAGAAATGTATAACTTAAAAACTTCTTAGTCTATCAAGGCTTAAAAGGTAGAATTGTGTGGATTTTCTAATGTATCTGGTAGTAGCAGTGTTTGTTTAAAGGTATTCAGAAAATCAGAGTGCAAATAATACATTTTAGCAGGTTAAATTTATAAATTTCATCTTCCCCAGTTTTGGCAAGTTGCCTTTCAAATATAAGGATTAATTTACACCAACCAGGACGCCTTCCTTGTATGACCATATTAGATGAAATTAGACTCCACCCCTTGTTTTCTGTTGATCTGCCAGGACCTTTGTAATTCAAGTGCTTTTTACAGTAGTAGCAAATGTTACATAAGACCAAACATGGAGCATATTTCAACTTGGTGGGCAGACCCAAATCATGATGGAAGCCTTCAGTAGCAAGTGTGCAATTAAGCACAGCCAAATTATGTGAATGGAAGGTAACAAGAAGCCTCTCCAGAGCAGCCCTTCCTCCGCACCAGGGCTGAAAGCTCCACTGGGTAAGTTTTCTAAGGCAGTTTTCAGAGGCTGGGCTTGGCTCAGATCCCAGTTCTGGATGAGCCTGCAGACGGTGAGTTAGGTCTTTGCTAACATTACACAGAACCAAGAAGAGCGAGCAGGAAGAGTTTGTAAAGGCCTCTTCCCTTCTGGCATTTGTCCTGTCCTGCCGGCTGGCTCAAAGCGCTGTGTTGCTGAAGTGGTGGAGAGGGTGAGCTCTGTGGACTGTGGAATTGCCACAGAAGGGATTAGCTGCTGCTGCCGTCCACAGGAGCCATTCTGAAATGTCATTAGAGTGATCTGGCCAAAGTTCAAATGCAGATGGGAGTTGAGTTTGCTATTAACTCCAACAAAATGCTGAGGTTTGCACCAACAGTTCCTGTATCTCAAAACAGGGAGAGAGCATTGGTTACGTCGCTCTCTAAAAATGGAGGAACGTTGTAATATTCTTTAACTGTTTGTTTTGTATCTCACTTGTGGTGAGGTTTCATGACAGGCAGTTCACACTGTTTCCTGTAAAAATGTTTTTGAAAGCTGTTTTGTCTGGTACTTCATATCCACAGCAAAGTTTCAAACAGAACACTGTGTTGAGAGGAAAAATAACTTCAGAATATAAACAGTAACCCTGGGAAGTCATTCAGTAACTTAAATTGAGTGTATAAAAATATAATTACTGCCTGACTGCCAGAAAAGACGATGTTTTCTCAGTTTTATTAAGGTAGACAGTATAGCTTAGCTGATTCTTCTTGGATGGGTTGGGAGGTTGTTCACCAAGTTACCTCAACTATTTCATGTCTCTGTCTGAAAGCAGGAGGTGAGGTGATGGATGAGTTCTTTACTTTTCACTAGATTTGCATTTCATTCCTTCTGTAATAATGAGCTTGACCAGAAAGTTTTAATTGGGGTTGAAATTTATTTTACCAGTTTGAAGGACTTTAAACAGATCTTAAACCCTTAATCAAATTGCTGTCAACGCCCTAAAATTGATTTTTCTAAAAACTCTTATTTGTTGTCAGGCAGTTTTAGCTTTGCCATTTCTGGTTTCACTTTTGAATATTGCTTTTGGTCTTTATTAGTTGACAGCCACAACCTATATGTGAGGCAGATAATGTTTCTCCTAAGAAAAAATTAATACTTGCTGTAAACTCATTAAAGACAAGCAGCATTGTTAAGTAATGAATCACCCGTTCCTTACTAATGGAATGCTTAATGAAGGAGGCATTTTGGATTGTTCTGAGTTTGAGAGTTTTGTTATTATTCCCATGTTCACAGTCCTTTGCACCACCGCTCCTCCCATCCAGAATAAAAAATAAAATGGATAGAAAATTAGTGGGACATAGCAATAAGGATGTCACTTACAGCCTCAGTGCAGCAGTTGGCCGCAGATGGGGCTGTCATTCCATTGCACCTTGGACTTGCAGTAAATTTGAGGCCTAGAAAAACAGTGCTCGACGAGAGGGGTTACTGCATAGAAGTTTTCATTTAAAAAATGAATAAACAACAAAAAACTCCTAATTTACATTTTGCCAGCTTCCTTTAACTCTTTCTCCCACTACCCTTTTAAAAATTGGATTGGAGTGGTAAAGACATACTGTTTTTTTTAATTCTCTTGAATTTTGATTCTACCCTTGTATCTTTCATTTGGGAAAAACTGTGACCCAGATCCAAAATATGACCACAGAGATGCTTTTGTAAAGACTGTGTTGATGGTCTGACGAACTGAGAGGCTGAACCTAAAATGACAAATAGGGTGCCTTTTTTTCCCCTAGCAGATAAAGGATTAAATAAAAAAATAGCTGGAAACCTGTGGCTTTTTGGTTTGGGCTTTTTTTTTTTTCAATCTCACACATTGATATCTGAGGAATACAAACATTTCAAGTCCACTTTGGGGTAGGAGGGAGACAGGAGCAAACCCTGGGACCTGCGTTCATCACTCAAGACAGTGACGTTGTGCTTCTTTCAGGCAGGTGACTGGTTGCTGAACTCTGTCAATATCACTTGGAGTGTCACTGTGCTTCCTGAAGACAGCAGAGAGAGGCCCTTATGACTATTAGCAAAGCAGGCATGTAAACCAGCATTTCATGGTGTACCATAGACAGAAATGGTGACATTTGTCGCCAGAAGATCTCAGAAATGGCATGGTTCTGTGAATCACAGAACCACATAGAGAATGACTATTTACTCAAGGCAGCAGCAGATGCTTTTTCCCAAAGGTACTTTCTCTAAAACATCTGTGTGTGTCTGAGATCCCACTGATAACCCTAAGTTTAGAGTCTGCACCTTGAACAGGTTGCAAGAGTATAGGAAGGGTCCCCTTAAGGAAATGAACTACTTACTCAGACCATTCAATTTTCCTTGAAACAAGCTGTCTCGTGATCATGATTGTGAAGAAATGATGTTATACATAAAACTGAGGTGATCAGCTCTTACACCATTGAGAACCTCTCATTTTATCTTTTTAATTAAAGTGTTGGATTTTTAACAAGTCATTTTAAAAATGTTTGCAAAGAGCTACAAGTTAAGCTGGCAGGGGAGGGGTACCCCCAGATAGTCAGTCAGTTTTTCATATTTCTCACATACTTGAAAGCAAAGTCCAGAAAGAACAGTCCCCATGGGAAGAATTGCTGGCCAGAGGATTATTTGAGGTTGCCATATTTCTGCTTCTTTCTTAGCAACATTATTTACAATCCATTCATGACCATCCCTTCCCCCACAGGAGTCTCTCTCCCTTGTAATCTGTCCTTTGTGATCTGCTCTCTTTCATGCTTCCGGCCCTGTGAATGGGGTGCTGCCCTGCACCCTGCCCAGAGATGTAGAAATGTCCAGAGACATGGAGCACTTTAGTGGGCTTTATTTCTGTCATAAAGCACTGACTTGAAGAACTTGATAATTTGATTATAGACCTTTGGCTAAAAGTTGTTTCAAGTGCCTCAAGTCCTGTCTTTTCTGCACTTTTCCTTTATGCTTTAATTTAAAAACACCTCTGTGTTTGGGGGAGGAGAAATGCAGTTGGCAGAAGTCGCAGCTGGAGACTAATTTGTTAGAGCAGCCAGTGTTGAAATCATCCTTTTCAGTTAAATCTCTGTAGTGGAAATTATGCCAAGTGCTTTTGCAGTAAAGACTTTTTCTTCAGTTTTCCAGTGCAGTTTGTGACCCACCTAGGCATACTCTGTGGCTGCCTCAGGCTCCAATTTTGGCTAATTACTCTTTGAGGGACTGCATTTTGCAGAACAGCTCTGGATTCCCCTACTTGAAATTGGAATGTTCCAGGAACAGTCCCACCCATTTACTTACTTTTTAGCATGAGATTACTAATCAGGTACGGGGTGGGGGGCGGGGGGGAGGTGTTAAGAAATTGGATGGAAGAAAAAGCATATTTGGGATTTTAAAAGTATGTGAAAACAACAAGGAGTGGAGTAGAATCACGTTTGCAGGTCAGGACATGGTGAGTGCTTTTAGAAAAAAGGAACATATAGCAGCGGTCCCCAACCTTTTTGGCACCAGGGACTGGTTTCATGGAAGACAATTTTTCCATGGACCGAGGTGAGGGGGGTGGCTTTATAACTTGCCTCCAGGTGTGGCTTAATTGTCACTTGCCACTAACTGATAGGGTTTTGATATGAGTCTTCAAGCAGTTGATTTATTATGGTCTCTGTGCAGTCAAACCTCTCTAATGATAATCTGTCTTTGCAGCCAATCCCCAGTGCTAGCATCACCTCAGCTCCACCTCAGACCACCAGGCATTAGATTCTCATAAGGAGCCTGCAACCTAGGTCCCTCACATGCACAGTTCACAGTAGGTTTGCTCCTGTGAGAATCTAATGCCACTGCTGATCTGACAGGAGGTGGAGCTCACGAGGTAATGTGAGCGCTGGGGAGCAACTATAAATACAGATGAAGCTTTCCTTGCTCACTCGTGGATCACATCCTGCTCTGTATCCTGGGGGTTGGGGACCCCTGAATTATAGGGAGAATTTTACAGTGAAAGTAGTGAAAAGACATTATTAAATGCCTTATGTCCATTCATAGTCCTTGGTGTGATTTTATTTTTTATTTATTTTAGAGAGGGGAAGGGGGGTGGGAGAGAGAGGGAGAGAAACATCAATGTGTGGTTGCCTCTTGCATGCCCCCTACTGGGGACCTGGCCCACAACCCAGGCATGTGCCCTGACTAGGAATTGAACCTGCAACCTTTTGATTCACAGGCTAGCTCTCAATCCACTGAGCAACACCAGCTAGGGCCTTCATAGTGTGATTTTAAATGGTATACTAAGTATTTTTTTAGTAGTTACTAGGAGAAAAATAGATAATTACTCTGTCAAACCCAAAATTCTTGTTTCATAGACATTGCTTATAAATGCTAAATTAGGTATGCCTAGTCAGCCACTAAATTTTGAAGAATACAGGGTCTGGCAGAAATAACACCTGCCTGAGTCTAGGGTACATGAATGTTTTGCATGAGAGGGGCAGCAGCTTGAGCATTTCACCTAAAATGTGACATGGTATACTCAAGTGTGATATTGTGTTACAGAATTACATACTAATGATTTGTTAAACGGGAGGTTGTTGTTTGTGCCTGTATATTAAGTAAATAATAGTCTAGATAATGTGCAGATAGAATGAAAGATCTGGAATGTGATTCCATTTTGAATCTGTAAAATTTATGGGAAACACTGATGTGTGGATCAAAGTAGATCTGATCTGTAAGGAAGAAGTTCTGGGCTTTAAAAATATATCTGTTCAGTCTTAATTTATAATCTACCTCAGGTCCTGATCTGGGATGTTTCTTTGGGGATAAATGGCCTTATGAAAGACAGATGATACCAATTGATACCTCGTGGGTTGTGTTTGGTGTCCTGAGAGGGAAGTATAACAGTTTGGGTTAACCAAGAGCTCTATAGTAGCACATTGCAGTTATTTTTAACCTGGATACCAGAATAAATAATTTAACTAATTCTGTGAAAGGGTTGCTTAGTGAATGACCCAGAGTTTTTAAACTGAGC